GTTCTCCTGCAACCAAAATGTGGTTCCTAAAAATGTGGGCCAAAAAATTGTTTTTTTTACTGGATTTCACAGACATCAAAAACATCTCGTTTATACAAGATTTGGTCTTATCAGAAATTAAGATGGATATGAGGAAACTGAATTTAAGAAAAAGGTTAGCATGTCCAAAAAAATTAATTAATTTTGGGCAGTGCAAGTCAAAAATGTTGCATACTGGGCAAAAATTGAAACTGAACTAATATCTTCTGAAATCGCAATTATTGTATGCAGGGAATGCAACGGGTTCAGGAAGTCTGTTCCAATTGAAAGTCTTAATGAAAAAAAAGACAACAAGCAACCCAATGTCTGGACTAACAATGCTGACTTTAAGTGGTCAGCGAGTAGCCGTGATTAACCTGCCACAAGAAGTTTGTATCACGTGCCATTTGCTTAGTTGCTCTGCTTTGGAAGCCAATTGTTTCATCATTTATAGAGTGACTGATTAAGACTAATTCAGCCCACATGCTCGTGATCAGCAACCAACTGTCTTCGCATTTCCAGTGAGACCTGACCCTCCATTGGCGCCAGCGTCCAACATCATTGAGATGATTGAGACGCCTTGCTTGGATGCAAGGAACAGATATTTCTTTTCCGCACCTGTTCTTGTCAATGAATAATCAATAATCAATAATCATGTGTTCATCGAGGTGCATGGTCATTGGTAGCTATATCTGTGCATTTGAAGTCTCATTTCTGCATTCCACGTTATTTTCTACCATTTGCGGCATTGCACACGGTCATTCTGGTCATATTGTGATTGCTCTCATTATCACAAGTCGTCATTATTGTATCAGCCTGCTCAAAAGGAGCCGGTGATAAAATAAAAATCAACGTAATCATGGATCGATAGAAGTATCACAGCATCCGTGTGAGGCATGCATTGCCATCTGGAAAGACCCTGATTGGTCTGGGATTTTATTTTCAGGAACCTAAACACACTTATAACTAGTTCTGAGTCGCAAAGAATCATCTGGTAGCATAAAAAGTGATGACTTGGCCTGCTCAAAGTCCAGACCTTAATCCCATTGAGCAAAACTGGGATTTGCTTCATACCAAGAACAAGTGACATCGAAAGAATTTCTTTGGAATGAACTGCAAACCATATGGAATGGTTTGGTGAGAGAGGAAATTTTTTAAAAAATGTGAAAACTATGCTTGAAAGATTAAATGCTGTAATCAAAGGAAAGGGTGGCCAGTGGCCACACGAGATATTGACTTTTTCTCTCAAAAAGACATTATTTTTGTTTAATAAATATTATTATCCATTTACTCATTTTCATCTATATGATGAAATATTACATGAAATAAACACTTGAATAGTACTTTGTTTCTGATTTATCCTCATTTTGTGAAGTGTATAATCATCACTGCGCACTACTGAAGAAATGGCAAATTCTTCATGACTGTTTAGCAAGTCATAACAGGGAGCTCTCCTGCTGTCATTTGGACCACAGACAGCAGCAACAATGACGTTATGCTGCAAGGCAGATGTAAATGTAAATTTGAAAATTTTTTCATATATACATGGCAACTTCAGACGTTAAGAAATACCTTAGGATCAACTCTTAAGTGAAGAATCAACTCTCCTGTTGTCACATGGAGTGCAGAGGTCGGCCTTTGCTCGGCCACTCAAACACTGCTTGCAGCTGTAATTAACAAACTGACTGGTGTTTCCTGGGTGCAAAATTTGATCAGAGCATCCAAACACTGACCAGCGATTCCTCGCACAAGTTGCATAATTAGCTTCACTCTGCCACATGTCAAGCAGTTACTCATTAAGCACCCCAAAAGATGAAAGCAAAGCGCAGGAATAACAGGCCTTCTTCAATTCCTGAGCACATCCAAGAGCTTGTAATTGATAGGCCTAAACCAGGCTGAGGGAGGAAAGGCTGCTAATGAGGTTGTGTGGTTCTCTGCTTGAATGTCTGAGACTGTAAACTGAACATTAAGGCCACCTCCAATAACAGGCAGAAGACACGAATAAAGACATGAAAAATGCCTGATGTTCTGCCTCTCATTTTGCAACCAATACTGTCAATTCACACAGACATCAAGTGAACTAAAAAAGCGAAGCCAAGTCATCGATCAACAAAAGACAATAAGCTATAAGGGAGCCCAGCTGTTAGCAGTGCCAGCATAGCTCACTGCATCTTTAGCAGGCAGAGAACTTTCCCTCGAGCATCTCTATGCTCTTAAATTATGCAGAGGCCAGGGAGCTTCATCTGTGTTCGGACTGCCGAGCGCAGTACTGGCCTCGCCCCTGTATACAGCACAGACCCACTGCCACTGCAGCAGGGTACTATGCGTTTCACTCAAACCTGTATTTTCCTCAGCCACACCGCTTCATGCGACAATCTATAATCTCTCTCTCATATGGTTTCTATATCAATATCGCTTTTTTGTTTGTTAATTATATTAAAAACACGGAAGGCTTTTGTTTGGAGTACTGCACTATGGTCATAAGCTCCATTTCAAAACGCAGTCGAGGGCTCTCGGTATACTCTGGCGTACCATGAGAGTCATGGATTCTAAAGTAAGGGATTCAGTTAAATGTGAACAATAATTTAAATCAACAATAACAGAAAACCACAGCAGAGTCAGAGATGCTCGCCATCTTCAGAAAGTATCGCTCGGCAGAATAACTTGCAAGAAATTAATTTTAAAAAACTGCGCTGTGTTGATGCGCTCAACAAACGAGCGGGGACAGCGTACCCGATTTTGAACTTAATGATCATCAAAAATTCTCTGTAGGAAGGTAACCTTGGGAATTTACAAACCTGGACAACTCCGAACAATGAGACATTCCATTTCCATCACTCGTCATAATGCAGTACCAACTAGATAACTCGGTCGCCACACGGACCGAGTCGTGTATCACCCAGATCCCCAAATTTCGGACAAAATGGCCACCGGCAGCCATATTGGACGTCCAAAATTGCCGAAAATCGGTCTTGAGCATTGCCAAATATCTATCTTGGCCTGTGCAAAATTAGAAAAAATTCCTGTAATAATTGTCGTTTCCAGAGCCCGAAACAGAAAATTTCTGCGGGCGCGGCGGCGGCCCCGGAACTAAACCAAAGTATCTCCCGACTATCGTTGTTGGGGAGATACAATAACACAGAATGCATTTCAAATGCTACACCATTTCCTGCTCAGTCTTGAGTGCATCTTTGAATTTTGATGGATGCACTAAAAGACTGATGCATGAAAAAAAAAAAAAAAAAAAAAGACTAGCTAGCTTGGTTTAGTGGTATAAGCCAAAAGTGGGACACCACATTTTCTTTGTACAAGCCAATCATAGCGATTAGAATTCTTTCGTCCTGACAGAAGAGCGACAAAAGCTAAGGCAAAAGGCAAAGCAATTTTATTGAAATTGTACATTTCATACCAAAAGGCAACCCAAAGTGCAGACAGGTAGGTCTTTAGCTCAGATTTAAAATGAGAATCACTCTCTAGGCGCTTTTGGCAATTTGTTCCACATTTGAGATGCACAGAAGCTATAGGAAGCTTCACTGTATTTAAATGTCACTTTGGGAACAGCCAGTAATCCAGAACCCGCTGACCAAAGAGGTCTGCGAGCTTCGTACTGGGTGAGAAGATTAGACAAGTATCTAGGACCTAACCCATACAGTGATTTATGGACAAGTAATAGAAATTTGAACTTAATTCTGTGAGAAACTGCCAATGCAGTGGTGTGAGGACTGGAATTATTTGCGGAGCTCCTTTGATTTGCGTTTCAATCCTGACAGCAGCATTCTCGATCAGCTGGAGCCGTCTGATCCTTGCAATATTTTTGAGGTGGTAAAAGGCTGATATTGTTATTGATTTATTGAGCCTTCTAAAGGGTCATTCCATATGAAATCACCCAAAATGGGGGCTGCTCCCAGCTTGATGGTTTCAGAATTGCTTCATTTGGTGATTTTTTGTTGCATGTGATGAGCAAATCAAATCGCAGGTGGTTTCAAGTTGATATCTCGTTCCGTTCTCATTTTATGGGCCCCCGAAAAAGGAGGCGTGGCCCACGTTGACCCTCTGGTCACAGTTTGTGACCATTTTCAAAGGGTCCCCCTTTTTCGGGGGCCCATAAAATAAGAATGGAACGAGATATCTACTTGAAACCACCTGTGATTTAATTTGCTCATCACAGGTAACAAAATATCACCAAATGAAACAATTCTGAAACCATCAAGCGGGGAGCTTGGGTGATTTCATATGGAATGACCCTAAAATTAAGAGCAGAGTCCAGGCTAACACCAAGGTTTCCAACTTAAAGGGACATTCCACCCAAAAACTATAATTTGTATATCAATTACTCACCATTTGAGGTCTTGAACGGACGAAGTTGTTTTTCACCTGGCGCAACTTTATGGCCACTGGAGTGTTTTGAAAAATTATCCAAATTCCTTTTTTGCTGGAAGCAGATGGGGGTCACCAAGTAGCAACGGAAAAGCTCCACAAAAGGTCTGTTGACAAACTTTCAAACACATTGTCCAACGCATCGTCCAGTATAAGCCAAGTCTGCTTTGTCCACTCATATCCCCAGTACTCCAGAAACGCGGTTATTTTAGCTAAAAACAATAAACAATACAACAGTTCCGCTTCAACACTCAGAAGCAAGCTCGCGCATTCAACGGAAGTCCCGCCTCCCGGCTCGTTTACCAATAACCAGATACTAATCCAGATGCTTCACCCAAAAGTTTTGAGGAGGCGGGACTTCCGTTGAATGCGCGAGCTTGCTTCTAAGCGTTGAAGCGGAACTGTTGTATTTTTTATTGTTTTGAGCTAAAATAACCGCGTTTCTGGAGTACGAAGGTTACGAGTGGACAAAGCAAACTTGGATCACAGTGGACAATGCGTTGGAAAATTTGTCAACGGACATTCTGTGGGGTTTTTCCCATTGCTGCACATCAGGAGCAGTGTGGAGCCCAGTGTCTTGCTCAAGGACACTTTTACATATTCTCTGGAGCAGCCGGGGTTTGAACCAGGAACCCTCTGATTCCTAGCCCGCCCGCTCGACCTCCTGAGCCATGCCGCCCCCTGGTACTGCTTCAGTATTACGGCTGTCTTGCATCATGGCCTTTCATGTATCTATTTATAAATTTGCTTTATGCTATAGGAATGACCGAAAAACTATGTTCTTGCAAATAAAAACGATGCACGGGCTTCAGCTATGTACAATTTTATTAATTTGTTGTTTTCGTCCTAAAAGTTTAAGACGGCAGGCTGGATAGGGAAATTTGTTTGACCAATGGCCTTGCTTGTCCCCTGTTGCATTAACAGTCTAAAAACCCATTTCAAAGACTATGAGTTCAGATGAAAATGTAGGAAAGCAATGGAGAGGCAGAAAAGCTTAGAGAATAAAGTAAACAGACATTGCAGGCTCAGGCTTTCAAATGCAAAAAAATTGACCAGCTGTTTGGCCATGATGATCCTCTTGGCGAGCAGTTTTCATCTGGAGGGGGACAAGGAAGCGGTAAGACTGACATTAAATTAACAGGCTATCGCAAGTATGTTTTTGGTTAAAATTTGCTTAAGCTTACAAAAGGACCCCACTGATGTGTTAATGGCCTACTATTTGATGCATATTGATTCGATGTTTTACGATGCCAAATAAAATGTGTCCTGGAATACAGGAAGACTTTCAAAATTTTCCATTCCAAAACACTGTCTTGAATCACCCATCATTAAACTTGCAACCAGCGAGTACGACGGTTCTGAAGCTAGTGAGCCATTCTATGCCCTTTAGAGTCTGTAAGTATGATATATTATGTCATTTAAAAAAGGTTATAATGAATTAATCCAAATAGTGCAATGGTCTTATTGGAAAAATTATAAATGGCCCCAAAGTCACATTTCTTTTTCACATTCATTCATGTATAAAAAAATTAATAATAATAATAATTAAAAAATATAATAATATTTTGGTAAAAATATATTAGTTTATATGTTGACAATGTTATGTTTTTTAATATAGGACTGCATCATTGTATTAAATTTATATCAGGACATCTTAAGGATAAATAGGATCTTAAATATAAATGGGATTGTTTGATTTTGGACACTACCCACCTAACCCCTGCCTACAGAATAGTAAATTCACTCACATGTACACAAGTTCAACTTAATGGTGACTTGGATGATGTGTATGTTGGCGTTTCACGAGACAACACTTTCTACTTTCACAACACTTGGAGTGCTTTGGAAGCATTAAAGCCTCATCTTTTAAAGACATTTTGAAAAAAAGACCATCACAGCATTGTACTAACTTTTTACAAGCTGTTGAGGGTGATATCTTTTACTAAACCTGGTTTAGGGACTTGAGGGGGAGAGGGGACTTGGTGATCTGTTAAAATCTGCTAAAATCACAAATGAATATAGCCACTGGGTTTGTATGTCAGACATACACAACAATTATTTTCTTGTAGGCCAATTGGCGTTATATAAACTTAAAAAAACTAGTAATATCAATGTTTTACGGGAAATATGGTCCAAAATGATGTTAAAATGCATACTTTTTTGTCAAATAACGTGAAATTTTTTTGGCCGGTCACTACCTCCCCATCCATGCCCCCTGGAGAGTGGGCCGGTCAGGCACGAATTCCCGGGCCACTTTTTTGCTGCAGTCCGCTCTTGGTTTGGACCTAGTAGCTAACACGCTGTTACCTGCGAGATCCGGGACACAAACTTCACAATGAACACAGCGCATTTACCTTCTTTAAACTGAAGCCATTCAAAATTTCGAAGTCACTCTTTGTGAAAATAATTAACTATTTTCGCAGACCGATAACCGTAACGTTTGTTTCCGACAATTTTTAAACGTTAACGGTACCAAAAAAAGTTTTCTATTGTTCTTTGTTTCATTCTCCGTTTAAATCTTGTGTATAGTTATTATAATAACTCTCAGTACCGCAAAATAGAGTGATAGACGGCTAAAATTGAATTAACCATTAACCCACCTCAGACAAGAATACTTGGATGGCACTGGTCGAAAGCAGTCACATGGAAACCCCGTATATTCCCATATTATATCTTGAGCCCACACATGGCGTGTGAATAGATCATCTCCCTTAGCGTCTCTGGAGCAGCCGAAATGGCAAGCACGCGAAAAAAAAAAAAAAAGGTCTTCAGTGGGATAAATTCGTTACACAGTTTGTAGAGAGGGCCAATATGGAAATATATAGGGATCAGTTAATGGCATATTGGCATTTACTGACCCCGTATATTTCTGTATAGGCCGTCTAACAAACTGTGTAACTTATATTCTAGAATCAGGACTGAGGTTTAGGACATCAAGCTCCCCTTTGATTGGTCAGAACGGTCACTGTCAGCTCAAGGGAACAGTGGGTGTGCTCCATTCTTACACCGGTACGCCCAGCTGCGGTATGTCAAGTATATGCATGCACGCACTGCTTCAACACATACGCCCCTATCTATACAAGCTGCTAGAGCAGTTTGCAAGCCTACTGACCACCAAATGTACAGGAAAAGAGGCGTTTAATTGGGGGGGAAAGCGGTCGCACAGGTGCGACTTTAAGGTCGCATAATGTTAATTTTGGTCACATATGCAACCAAAACGGTCGCAATTTCGAGCACTGAATATTTCTGCGGTAAGTAACAGTATTTCTGAAATTCAGGTGGCCACTTTTGGGCCATGACCAATTTTTTAGATTAAGAGCTCTTGGGGTTTACCAGGCCAATAATAAAGCAATATAAAATCATAAAAAAATGCATTATATGTTAAATTAATTTCTGCAATAGATTGGAAGATTTCAAACAACCTATGGAAAATGCCATTTTTTTTTTTTTTTTTTAATTTGGCATCTCCAATCCCACCTGAATCTGGAATGCCCAAATGGTGAACTATGTACAAGGCACAAGGCACAAGGCTTACTTGTATGCGACCCCCTGCTGCCAATTCAGGAGAGTGTAGACAGTTCGCGGCTCTCCTCCGAAGCACGCGCCTGTCAACCACCGCTTCTTATACACTCATTGGTTGAATCTTTGCAAGTTCAGAACGAGGGCGGAGGATACCCGGATGCGAAATTTTTTTTCCTATGAACTTTTGTCCTCATTTGCATACGCGCATGCGCACTCTAGTCAATCATCCACTGCCGCAATCGGACAATCTGACAGTGACAATGGAAGAACTCGACCGTGAGAATTTTCTCGCTCGGGAAGCGCACCTCAGAACGAATTCTAAACCCACCCAACTATACGCCGAAAAACGTTCACCAAAACTTCGGCTCTTTATCAGTTTATTTGTTTTAGCTCATCATATTAATCTTCAGCAGTTAACTTTGAGTTAGCCCAAGATCATCAGTCAATGCACTCGCTAATTTCTTGCGTTTCTTCAGCGCAGTGAATAATGCTAACACTAGTTACGATTGAGTCACCTTTCTCCCAATCAGTATGTGTGAATGTGTTTGGCTGGCGAGGCTACATGTTTAAGCTCGTGGGTTTCAAGTGTTTTTTTTGTAGAAAGATTTTTTTCGTAACATGAGTAATGCTGACAAAAGTCAGCCTGGAAGAACCATTAAGCAGAATTTTTCTAATGTTGTCATATGTGGACCTTGACAGTGGCCTATGGTTATCATGGTGAAAAAATAAGAATGTTTAGTCTATTCACAAAATAGGGAGACACCTTTATTCAAGAGTCCCGAGCTTTAAATGTAATGTGAGTATTGCTGGAATTGCCCTGAAACATTGTAAGTTCTTGATGTCCAAGAGGATTATAGACATATGATCGAAACAAAAGTACGACAAAAATAATTCTGTGCGATAAACTACGTCCATCCGTGACATTCGTCCATGACGCTGACCTTGGCATGTTAATTAATCTATGTTCATTAGACAGTGTTTGAAAAATACTGACTTATAACACGACCTTACATACTAATGCACAGTTTTGGCCATGAATCATAAATTCTCACTGAAACATTTTGATAGAATAAGACCTGCAACTTCAAATGGAATTTCTCACAAATTTATTGGATTTCCGTCCGTGACGGTACAAATTTAACAACTACAGGTGGACCTCTGGACTATATTTTCTCAATGGAAAAAGGAAGGGGCACCATTAATATTTCCAAATGATGTATGATTTCCTGGATTTTGTGCATAGTACAAATTTATTTTCTGAAATGAATCTATCAAATGTCCGACCGTGATGCTGCAGAGGTTTTGAATATGACCCACCTACAGACTGGGTGGTCTAATACCAAAAGTGATACTGGAATTGAAGCCTAGATCATGTCTTTCAGCAAATTTTGCAGTACTTTCGGGATGAGTCTCAAGCCACAATGAACGGACTTATGAATTTTTTTTTTTTTTTTGGCGCACTAAGATCAATATATTTTAAATCTAACAGAATTCAGTATACCAGGTAAAAATATTTCCCTTTTTCAACAGAATGCTCCATCGGGTAAAATATAATTCACATTTTCCCTCAGTACTGTGAAAGTTGAAGGCTAATTATGGGCCAGGAACATCATGAAGGGCCATGTTAGGCCCACAGGCTGCCAATAGCTGATCTCAGATCTAAATCATTTATCATCAACTACAAGTCAACTAACCTATACTGCAAACTTCAGGAAATAAAAATAGCTGGATTTAGCTCAGCATCTGGTTCTAAAATACTAACTCCTATTACCTGGGCTTTATACTGAGAATGAGCTACATTGAGAAAGTTTACTTAGGGTAATGGGCTTGATAATTTGGCCGACTCGACAATAACAAAGTGCAGTACATGATTTTGACTAATGATACAATTTCCGTATTACAGCACTGAGATATAGCCTGATGGAAGTTAGGATAAATCAGTCCAGTCTATAATGGCAAAGGCATGACATATAGCAACACTAAGATTACTCAGTAATTAGACAGTTGCCAACTACTGATGGACCTGTTTTACAGGACTGGTATGATGTACATATTGAAGTCTTACCAATGAGAATGTGCAGACAAACAGAACAATCACTCTCTCCAAGCTCAGTATGTTCAACGCACCTCTTTCAGTAAAAGCTTGTAATCAATTATTA